TCTGTATTATTCATTGACTCCATAGAGTTTGAAGTGTTTGTAAATAGGGAGTTCAGTAGGAGAAAAGTGGATAATTGTTCTGATGTGTGCATGTTCATTGTAGACCCATCATGAGACATAAAGAATCTGCTTATGCTTCGTGACATAAAAAGTGAAAGCTCTAAAGGGGCTGAAGAAAGAAACTTAGTTAGTGGAGTAACCCCTGCCTTCAGCGCAACAAAAAGTGGACAAGTGCACTCGCACACCTGCTATCATCACTCCTTGTTTTCACGTTGCTTTCTGATTTACATGCGTTAAAAAGCTATGTCCCAATTTGTCCCAATTAATTGTAACCTTGGAAATCATGAGATGAAGTAAATCTTCCTTTAAGTTTTTCAGTTGAGTATTTTGTCAGAACAATGAAAACAGTAGCTGATACAATAATATGATTCAAATAATATAATATCTTCATCTCTCTGATACAATGCTATCCTATGTTTGCAGACGACAATATTCAAAAGTGAAGTAAAATGTGAATATTTTTATATTTAATGTTTAGTATATAACGTAATACTTAATTTTATCCCTATATGTAATAATTTATAAGACCCAAGATTTGCCATCGGAGAGATTTTATATAAAAGATTAATTAGTATTAATTTTATTTATGTTTGGATAGGTTAACTTTAGTGCTTTATTAGTGATTAGACAAACACCTCTTAGGGGATAAGATTAAAAGTAGGGCTCTCCAACAGAACCAAAATATCTGAGCACAGGGGTCTTTCCTGAGACTGATACTTCAACGAAGGACCAAGCATGGAGATAACCTAGGACCCCTGCACAGATGTAGCCCATGGCAGTTCAGTGTCCAAGTGGGTTCCATAATAATAGGAACGGGACTGTCTCTGACATGAACTGATTGGCCTACTCTTTGATCACCTTCCCCTGGGGGGGAGCAGCCTTACCAGGCCACAGAAGAAGACAATGCAGCCACTCCTGATGAGACCTAATTGACTAGGATCAGAAGGAAGGAAAAGAAGACTTCTCCTATCAGTGGACTTGGGGAGGGGCATGCGTGTACAGGAGGGAGGAAGGGAAGGATTGGGACAGGAGGAAGGAGGGAACCACAGGGGCAATACAAAGTGAATAAAGTGTATTTAATAAAGAATTAAAAAAAAAAAAAAGAGTAGGGCTCTCTCCTCTAGCCCAGCAAGATGCCCAAAGGAAAGAAGGCCAAGGGGAACAAGCTGGCCTTGCTCCCACCTCCCCCCGTCTTGAAGAAACAGGAGTCCAAAAAGGTGGTCAGTCCTTTGTTTGAAGGATTTCTGCACTGGGCAGGACATCCTGCCCAAAAGAGATCTCACGAGCTTCTTCAAATGGCCTGCTACATTAGGCTGCAGAGGCAAAGGGCCATCCTCAGTAAGCAGCTCAAAGTACCCCCTGCTATTAACCAGTTCATCCAGGCCCGGGATGGCAAACAGCTACCCAGCTGCTTAAGCTTGCCCACAAGTACAGGCCAGAGACAAATCAGGAGAAGAAGCAGAAGCTGCTGGCCGTGCTGAGAAGAAAGCTGCTGGGAAAGGGGAAGTCCCAACTAAGAGAGCACCTGTCCTTCCAGCAGGGGTCAACACAGTCACCACCTTGGCGGAGAACAAGAAGGCTCAGCTGGTGATGGTTGCCCATGATGTCGACCCCATTGAGCTGGTGGTTTTTCTACCTGCTCTGTGTTGAAAGATGGGGTCCTCTACTGCATCATCACGGAGAGGCAAGGCTGGGGCGGCTGGTCCACAGGAAGACTTGCACCACGTCGCCTTCACACAGGTTAACTCAGAAGACAAGGGTGCTCTGGCTAAGCTGGTGGAGGCTATTAGGACCAATTATAACGACAGATAGGACGACGAGATGTGCTGCCACTGGGGAGGCAATGTCCTGGGTCCTAAATCTGTGGCTCAAATTGCCAACTGGAAAAGGCAAAGACTACAGAACTCAACACTAAACTGGATTAAATGTACACTGCTAAGTTTTCTGTATGTAAATATAATTACAAAATTATATAAAAAATGATTAAAAGTAGGAATTTACTAAGGTATTAGGGATGACACCAACTGGAGGAAGGCATTAGCGATAAAGGATATAAAACACTAAGGTGTGATTCTCAACCTTCTTAATGCTGCAGCCCTTTAATACAGTTTCTCATGCTGTGGTGACCCCAATCATAAAATTATTTTCATTGCTACTTCATAACTGTAATTTTGCTACTGTTATGAATTTGCTACTGCTGTGAATTGTAATGTAAATATCTGTTTCCTAGTGGTTCTAGGTGACCCACCTGAAAGGGTCATTCAACCACCAAAGGGGTTGTGAATTTTATACAATACCATTTTATACCATAAAGTTTCAAAGGATGCTGCCTGTTGTGTTTAGGGTTCAGTTTACTCGGAGACTGTATTTAATATAGAATGAAGATCTACGGGTTTAGAATTTGCTCTTGAATAGAACAGAGCATCTATTGGAAAATAAGCATTTCTGCCTAGAACCATTAAAAAAAAGTCACCATTCTGCAACAGAGTTTACTTTAGAACAGATTTCAAGTCTCAATTGCAAATTGTAGAGGTTCATTCTTTCTCTGTTTTGTCCTGATCATATTGAATTACATTAAATATTCCAGCTAAGTCACTATGTGTCAGAATATGTAAGACCAAATAAAACAACCTGATTATATGCTTCATGCAAGAGATATCTCTTAAATGTAAAGACTGAGGGGGAGGATAGAGGAAAAAAATACCATGCAAACACTTAAATGAAAGCTGGTAAAGCTATACTAATGTTCAACAAAGCAGCCTTTAAATTAAAGACCAGATATGAAAGTCAAGGTACCAGGAATTTTTCACAGCCAAATGTATATCTCATAGTAGGAATGTTTTAAAATGTGTAAAATAAACATTTGTATAAACAGAAGCTAACAGAACAATTTTCTAATCACATTGGTGGAATTTATGATACATCTATTAGTACCTGATATAGTGCATAGATGACCCATAAAACAGATGGGAGAATAGAAAGTCAACAGCAAAAATGATGCATGAGTTAACTGACAATGAAAGGACCTTTTCTTTTGTGCAAGGATTGTTCTTTTAAATTTTATATGGAATATTAACCAAAATCTGACCAAGAGATCTCAGAAATGCCTGTATACTCAAGGGATTATTGACAAATGTTCTAAAGACATACATTAGAGAAAGTATAGCAATTTCAGTGAATCTTGCTGGGAAAACTGGATAGTCATATGCAGAAGCCTGAAACTTGACCACTATCTTTCACCTGTACAAAAGCCTAGCAAGGTGGATTAAAGTCTACATATAAGACTTGAAATGATGGAATTTTTGGAAGAAAATAGGGAAAACACTTTAAGATATTTGTATAGGCAATGATTTCCTGGTTAGGACACCCACCCCCTGCAAATTACAAGAAACAATAGCAAAAATTGGCAGATGGAATACTGTCAGGCTAGTTTATTTGACACAAACTAGAATCATTTGGAAAAAGGGAACCTACTTGAAAAAAAAAAGTGCTTCTACCAGATTGGTCTGTGGGCAAGCCTGTAGCTCACTTTCCTGATTAATTTCATATGTGGGAGGGGCTAGCTCACTGTGGGCAGTCCTTTACCTGGGCTGGTGGTCCTCACTGTTATAAGAAAGCAGGCTGAGCAAGCCAGTAAGGAGGTTCATGGTCTGTGCATCAGCTCTATCCTTTAGGCCTCTGCCCTCATGTCTCTGTGCTGTACTGTGCTGTGGAACTATAAGCTGAAGCAAACCCTTTCCTCCCCAAATTGTTTTTTATCATGGTGTTTTGTCACAGCAGTGGAAACCCTAAAGCAGTTGTAAAATGCTTTCTGTACATGAGTGCGAACCTGCATTTTTATCCCCAAGCAATCACTTAAAAAGCAAGGCCTGGTTACTTTGGCCTGTATCCCAGCTTCTTGGAGGGAGAGACAAGTGTTTGCCCACTAGTCTAGCTGAACTAGGGAGCTCCAAATTTAGTGGAGGCCTTTCTCAAAAAGCAAGAGGGAAGCCTGTCATATGATGCACACCTTTAATACTAGCATTTGGGAACAAAGGCAGGAGGATCTCTGGATATGAGGCTGGCTTAGTCTATAGATTTTTCTTCTTCTAGTCTTTCCTTCTGGCATGCACATTTTAAGAGCTATGCTGATTTTTATTTTCTCAAATAATCTTTTTTGCTCCTTAGTGTGTATAAATGGGAAATACAAACATCAGCACACTGAAATTACCTAATAAGGTATTCCCATTCTACTAGTTGAGCTTATACATTTATTTTCATTTATCTCTGCTATTTCAAACAAATGTGATGGCAGGGTTAGCAGTATTGTTTATCTCCTTTTTTTAGGTGTTGTGTGTAGGCATAAGGTTATGGTGTAATTCAAATGCTGATTCCTGTATCTCCACTTGCTGAGCTAGCTCTCTCTTCTGGTCCTTCCTGAACATCTTCCCCTGGTTGAATCCCCTAATTCCTTTTCTAACCCCTTATCCCCTGGCTGGCAAGAAGCCTGGCCATATCAGGGAACCATTGGAAAGCAGATTTATGCAACATTAAAACAGGAGATTCTCAGAACAAGGCTTGCAACCAGATATGGAGGATACAGAAATCAGCATTTGAATTACACAATAACCTAATGCCTACAGTTGTGGGATCAGGGAATTGCTATTATATATTAGTAAATTAATCCTCTAGAAGTAAGAACAAGATTTCTACATTTTAATTTCTTTATGTTTTTTTATTTATATGTCAGTATATTTTAATTAGCTGCTTGTCATTGAAATATTGGCTTTGTTTTGACTATTAACAATTTCTCAATTTAGCAGGCAAAAAATTGAATGCTGATGTTTAGGAAAGAAATATAAAGAATACATTTCATTTAAAATTACTTTTGGCCAGCACTAGCTGTAGTGAAGTATAAACAAAAAAATTAATTTTCTTTTCTTTTCCCTTTTCTTGTTTAGTGAGTGATAGCTGCTTCAGGAATCTTGCAGAAGATCGCAGTGGGATAAATCTAAAAGATCTTGTCCAAGATCCTTCTTTGTGAGTATTTGGTTTTTATCACTAAGTATAATTTAAAACTATTTTTACATCAACTGAAAAATGGTTTTAACAGCTGATATTTAACTTTTTTCTGATAATTTGTTACACTTAGCAAAGTCTAATGGAATAATGTGTATATACACACATGAAAAACTTTAGAAAACTAGAAAAGATGGTATCATTCTAAAGATTGACTTTCACAGCACTCGTAATTGGTGACAGTAGTGTGGCAGGAGATAGTGGTAAAATTTTTTTTCTTACTAATTGACTTGTTTGGGGAGATGAGAGTAAATTAGTTTACATCAATTTTAACTTTCTTTGAACATCTTATTTGTAATAACTATTCTTAAAATTAGAAACATAAAATATTTATAATAATTAAAACTGTGCATCATAGAATGTTTGGAGTTATGTAGCTTTCAATATTTTTTATACTCATATGAATTTATTTATTACAATTTATTCACTTTTTATCTCTGCTGCAGCCCCCTCCCTGGTCTCCTCCCAGCCCCATCTACCCTTGCTCTTCTCCCCCAAGCCCCTTCCCTAGAACGCTGATAGAGGAGGACCTGTACCCCTTCTATCTGACCCTAGTCTATCAGGTCTCATCAAGGCTGGCTGCATCATCTTCCTCTGTCACCTGGCAAGGCTGCATGCCCCCCCTCCAGGGGGAAGTGAGCAAAGAGCCAGCCACTGAGTTCCTGTCAGAGAAGCCCCTGTACCCCTTACTAGGGAATCCACTTGGAAAGTGGGCTTCCTCTGAGCAGGGTGTCTAGGTCCTCTTCATAAAGGTCCTTGGTTGGAGTATCAGTCTTTGCAGGGCCCTGGCCCCAGGATTTTTGGCTCTGTTGTTCTCCTTGTGGAGTTCTTTGGAAATCAATCTGGCGCTTTCTCAGAAAATTAGGAATAGTGTTACTTCAAGATTCACCTATACCACTCCAGGCATATACCTCTTAGAGCCTGAGCTGTTGGTGTTCTATTTCTTATAAGCATACATTCTAGTATAATATCATTATTTAATAGTTTCATTAAGTTTTGGAATTTTATGCTTATTGAAAGATAGATTTAAAAAGGCAGAACCCAAAAAGACTATTTCATACTATAGATCTAATGTGATAGTTATCCTGTAATTATCAAGATATAGGTATCCTGTAATTATATATATATTTCCCACAATTTTACATCTATTTCACTATAACAAATACTAGATTGCAATTGAATGCATGAGCTATTGTTTGAATATAGTCAAAGAAGGATGCCACAGTAGAAAAGAAATATGAAAAAAATCACAAATATTGCAGGATTATTTTGTCTTGTAATTTGTAATAATGGGAATAAAATTTGATTTGTGGCAAGACTGAGATAAGGAAATATCTAATAGCATTTTTTTTTTTCTGGGTGATTTTTGTCTATCTCCATCCTGTAGGTGTTAAATGTAAAAACAATTAGGATTTGACACTCGTTTTAGCTGGTTAATGTATCTGATTGGTTGAATTACCAACTTGCATGCACACTAAGTTTCTAAGTGAACAACCACTTAAATAATTTGCCTTCTGTTTCTGATGCAGAAATTAAGATTGTAGCCTCTGCTCTATGTATAATTTGTCAATTTCTGTTGTGTTATAAGCCCTTTATAGTTTTAGTGTCTCAATATAGTGAAATGTCTTAAGTTTAGTTTGATGTTATATTTGTATTAGTACAATCTGTATGCACATAATTTTCAGTAATTTCAGAAATCGTTCTTCTCGTGATATAATTTTTTTTCAAAACTCTTTGAGTAAAGTAATGTATATTGTTTTTTATTTTTAATGCATATTGTTTTAAGTTACAAAATGTAAGCTTTTTTTCTGAAGAGATAGTTGTGATATAAGTAATTTATTTAAGCTATTGTTAGCTGCATTCTTTATAGAGTTAATTCTCTTTACTTTCCAAACAATTTTAACTTGTGGTATGGGTGAGGCAAAAAAGTCACCCCATTTGTGTTTTGAACTTCTTTCTCCTTCCTTCCTTTCTCCCTCCCTCTCTTCCTCCCTCCCTCCCTCTCTCTCTCTTTCTCTTTCTTTCTGTCATTACCAATATTAAAATACAAACAAGGCTCTAATTTTATAACCATTCATTTTAAAAATTTATTTTCCCTACTTTGCATAGTATTTCTTATTATATTCTTCAAATAAAAAAGATGTATGCTTATATAGATTATAGCTCAAATAAGAATACTAACTTGGAATGGTTAAAAAACAAAAGCAACAGCCTGCTTATACAAATATATTTGATGTTATAGATCATTGGTGATAAAGAAACACACACTAATTATTCTATATATATTTTGATATTATAAATCATGAATGATTAATAAGTATTTTGAACAAAACTAGAAAAATACTTGTGTATATATATATATATACAAGTATATATACAGAACTAGAAAAAATACTTGTATATATTCAAGTATATATACACATTTATACATATATATGCATTTCTAAATATATACTTCTTAAATATGAAAAATGGTATTTGCTTATATTTTCACAAATTTTGGAAGAAAATTTGTTCTTCTGGTATTTCTAGAACACTATCTAATCCCCCTGAGTATACTTGTCATCACACTGTAGCCTCACTGATTAAATAATATTTTGGTCCCTTGGATCATGACATTAAATATGAAGGAAAGACAGGATTGCTGCCTCGGAAGCAATCATCTCTAAATATAGACTGTGCTTACCTGCTGGTGTTAACACAGGTTGCTATGGTGAATTGAATTTCTTAAAAATGCCAGTCAGCAGAAGGTAAACAGTGGCTTCTGAAGTGGTTATTTCTTATAAAGTTGGACTGTCTCATACTACATTTTCAGAAAGGTTAAAATGTAATTAATATTTTTAATAAATTATTTATAAAATTTCAGTTTTAAAGTATCTTTAGAGTCTTTATTATATAAAATAGAAGAGGTTTGTATTATCATTTTATTTTACTGTAGACAAATTTCATTTAGTATTATTTATTTTTCTAGCAGCAATATTAAATATTACTGTGTTTTCACTTTGCTGCCCACAGTTATGTTAATTCTAAAAAAAACCTATTGCAGCTATCTTGTAAGTAACATCTCTAAATGTAAAATATATCAGTTTCACTTTTTTCCCTGCTTGATAGATTATATGCTCATTGGCCTGTAATATGTTTTTTGTAATGAAACAGTCTAATATGATACAGTACAGTTGGTGTCATGTTACGTTAAGCTACAAACCCCAAAACACAATTGGGGTTTTTAAAAAGACATTTTCCCCACCTGCATTCCTGAGAGTAACTGGTTAACTTCTCATTAGGTTATTCTTTTAGAATTCAACCGGAAAGCACTAGTGATGCCTAAATTCTTTAGTAACTAGGGTTAGCAGATATTCCTCCTGTGATCAAGAAATATACTATCAAAGATACATAATATCTTAAGGGTTTAGCATAAGTCATATAAGAAGGTAAAAGCAATTAGTGAAGTAAAGGTGTGAGATAAGAAAGGGATTTAGTAAGCTTTCTTGTACCCATCTCTTTACAGACAGGACAAATTGTACTGCTTTTTATGCATTCAACAACATTCACAAGCACTAAGGAAGCCAGGTGAGAGACCATAGTGCCGGCTCTTGGTATGACAATCCAAAAAGACTGAAGACAGCATAAAGGAAAGAGTTGCCCATGTCACTTCTTTTTCCAACACTCAACAGTCCAACACACAGAGAGAAATCTTATGCTTGGGAGAGGGAAAGATAATTAAGTACAGGTTTTAGACTTGAAACACAGTGGAAGGCCTTGTCACCTTGAAACCTGTTGTTTAGCAAAGGCCCACAATCCCTGCTATTGCCAAGCAAATGCTTGTGGACTAAGCTCCTTGGTCAGTGTTTGAACATGTGACTGATTGTCGTCCTTGTCCCTCCTCTCAACTTTACAGGAAGAATGTAGAACAGAGTTCAATTACCAGTGATCAGAGCACAAAAGCTTTGTCGTAGGCCCTGGGAAAGGGTAGGATTTCTTTTTTTCTTCCTTTTTTTCTTTTTAACATTGTGTTTACCAAGATTCTGGCAATAGCTTTATGTAACAAGATACAGCATTCCAGGCCTGCCACTCAACTTGTTTGTGGTAAGTCTCAGCTTCAATATGAAGCTGTTAAAAACAAGAAAGTCCTGCTTTTTACATGCTAAATATCTTGTGTCATTCAACATAGTTATGAATTTTAGACAGTAAGAATAGGATTAAAAGCTAAACATCGCAGCATAAACAAAATTTATACAAAACATAAAGTAGCTGTCACTGGCTACATAAAAATCGCCCGAAAGGTTAAAACTTGCGTAATATATGCACTTTAGAATTGTTAGCAATCAGGCTCAGAAAATAACTGTGTCAACTAAACAATCCCTCTCCAAAGCCAAAGTGTAGTAACACAATCTAACCCTAACAGCATTCAGTTATTACTTATATGGATATGAATCCCAGAACTTTGGGGGCTTTCTTATACTGCAAAGGGCTGGGTATCTCTGGTTCATTCAAAGCAGCTGACAACAAACTGAGGATGTCAGTAATCTTAGTTAAGGGCAGGACTGATGGTGCCCAGCTCTGACCTCCTAGGAAGCATGGCTAGTGTGTCCACAAAAGTAGAATGTTTTAGATCAAAGGCACGCTGTTGTGGTAGCTAAAGAGATAGCAAACCACCCCTTTCTTTAAAAGTTCCTTCCTCAAGTAAACCGAAGTATACGTAAGGAAAATTTAAAATATACTTATCTACAGAGCAAGGATTTTTGAATATTAATGTAATCCCCACTTTGAAATTTTTTTCCTGTTTTTTTTTATTTTTATTAATTACAGTTTATTCACTTTGTATCTCCCCTGTACCTCCCTCCCTTCTCTCCTCCCAATCCCACACTCCCTCTTCCCCACCCGTGTCCCTCTTCCAGTCCACTGAAAAGGGAGGTCCTGCTCCCCTTCCCTCTGACCCTAGTCTATCAGTTCTCATCAGG